GGGGGGGCGGTGTTGCCCCCCCCCCCGCTCTACAGTGTCTGTGGACGGAGGCGTCTGATAAGAGATGAATCATTTGAATTATTGCAGGAGTATGATGTCAATGGGACGTCACTGGGTCACTACAGGCGTTGGGATTGGTTTGCTTTCACTTTATGGTGTGTGTGTATATATTGTTGTGTTCTTACCTGCATCTGTATCACTTGTTCTGCCTAAAGAAGGGGATCCTTTGAGACCCCGAAATGTTGCACTGAGTGTATTCTGCTATGCTTCTTAGATGTATCTGATTTGCCATTGGAGTTCCGGTATCCATATTTCTACTTGATAAGAGATGAGTCGCTGCTCGTATGCGTGCGTGTCGCTGCTCATTCGTGTGTGTGTGTGTTTGTGCATTTCAGCTTGAGCTGTTAAGCTCTTTTAAAAGGCTTCGAACAGGTGATGGGAAGACAGAAAAGTACATGTGATGAGAGCTCTACCTGCTGGCTATATGCAATACTAGATAAAGTAATAATATATTCATATGCACTATAAATATTTACTTAAAGATATTTAACTCTTATATTTTTTTAGACCTGACTATAATAATATTATATGCAAAACCACTATACGTTCCTTTGAAATAGATGCAATAGTAGGCACCTCGAGGTGATTGCAAATGGCAGCAGCCTTGCCTGAAGCACCCTGGAAGGTCTGAAACCAGGGACAATATTTGATCAATATTCAAATACAGACTTCAGCTAGCAAGATGACGCCGTGCCCTTTGCCTCCTGTGTCACACTATTGGCTCATCAATGTGATGGGTGACTCACTGACCAATCCTGAGGAACAGGAGGTGGGCCAAAGTGGCAGCTTTCTATGTGAAGTTGGTATTTAGCCACTTCGTGAGCTTCCTGAAAGTTAAAGCTGAACCTGGCCTTTGCTTCAGTCTTGCACAGTTGTACCGGCTTCTCTCCTGGACTGAAAATGCTTACTCTGATATCACTGCGCACTGTACGCATCTCACGATGTGCATTAGAACCTGCAGCAAGTCAGATAGAAGAGTTCTGAGGCAGGGTGCTTTAATGTTTTCGGGAAGCTATGTACAACACCCTCCTGGTCCCTCTGACCAGCCATGATCTGCCTGCATTGCATAGAGAAACATGGATGATGACATCACTGGGTCTAACATTAGGCACGTAATGAAAACCGGTATTTAAATATTTCTTTAGCATGCTGATGAGGGGGTAAGGATGAACCAGGAAAGGCTAAATGTAAGAAAATTGAAGATCAGCTTTAAGTAAGAATAGACCATGAGCATTAAGAATATATATGGTGTTATATAAAGTGCCATATTCATTGTGTATCATATGTGTAACCAACGTCTTTACATCTTCTGCAGAATTTGGATTTACATTTAAGCTCTGACAGCCCGGATTCTGACAGCCTGGATCCTGACAGCCTGGACAGGGCAATATACTACGATGTGCTTGATTGGGACCCTGTCAGCGCCACCCACAGGACTTCCCTCTTTCCAAAATGGCACATACCGGTGAAGATGGCGTGTTGGCTGTCGCTGTTCGTTTTCATGTATACATTTCTAAGAGAAGTATTGCACCCCTTTGTTACGAAGAACAAAAATGAATTCTATAGAATTCCAATATTGGTGGTCAATAAAGTGCTGCCAGTGGTTGCCATCTCTCTGTTGACAATGGCCTATTTGCCTGGTCTGCTTGCCACGGTCGTTCAGCTTCACCGTGGCACAAAGTACAAGAGATTCCCGTCGTGGCTGAACACGTGGATGCTGAGACGCAAGCAGTTTGGACTCCTGAGTTTCTTCTTTGGGGCAATGCATGCAATCTACAGCCTTTGCTATCCCATGAGGAGGTCTTACAGATACAAGCTACTGAACTGGGCGTATGAACAGGTAGGGTACTAGAACATTGCATGGGCAATGTCTGCCTCTTCTAACCATCTGAAGTGTAGGGCTCGTTTACAAAAACGCTTATAGCTTGGCTCCACGCAGATATAAAATACACCAATTATTCCAGCTCTGGGGTCATTACTATACCATTACCATTACCATTTTTAAATGCAAGAAGTATAAGTACCTGAATATGACCTGGTATCGGCCTATTGCAGTTCACTCTGTACAGCAGAACTCATTGGGAGAGGAAAAAGCAGCATAAGGAGCCAATAGGTTAATGTGCTGACAAGAAGCATACGGATAGGAGGAGAAAGCAAAGTGACGGAGATGAGCCCAGTACGGTGTTGCTTCTTTTTCGATGTCTAGCCTTAGAGCCGGGAAGGGGTTAAAATAATGTATTTATTTTAAGGTATTTATATAGGGCTGATAATTTAGGGATTCATTGTTTAAGACCGTGATATTTCAGTGGTTAGGTTGAGGTGGGATAGGTTTCTCGGAAGAGATGAGTCTTTAGGGTTCGCCTAAAGGCAGGCCAAGTAGGAGATAGCTGGACAGGTTGGTGTAGGGAGTTCCAGAGGATGGGAGAGACTCTAGAGAAGTCCTGGAGGCGAGCATGGGAGGAGTTGGTGAGGGAGCTATAAAGCATCAGGTCTTGGGAGGAGCGGAGGAGACAGTTAGGTTGATGCTTTGAGACAAGGTTGGTGATATAGTTGGGGGCAGAGTTGTGGATTGCTTTGTAAGTAGTTAAAAAACCCCATACTGAATCCTGTATCACAAGCATGTCATCATATATTTGACATATGTATAGTGTTTGTTTGTTGAATGCACAGCTCAAGGGCCACCATTAGAAATCAAGGGGCCCTGTAAAAGCTACCTGACCCTGGCTCTCCAAAGCCTCCTTCCCCGGTCAAGTAAAGGAGTACAGCCTATGTCCTTCCCTTCTTTACCAGAGGCCCTGGCAGTACCAAGAGGCCCACGTACAGCAGAGTAGCCATTTGTACCATCTCCCCCTCACTGCTCTGAGCGCCACCATCTCTCCTGGGGACAAGGCAGCTGCTGCCAAACACAACACCTCACAAGATGGGTGGCCATGTTGCAGTTGGTGAAGATTTGCCAGGCATGAATGGAGGAGCGGGGGTGGAGTTAATGGAAAGGGCCCTCCTGCTGACCCAATGGGGCCCGGAACTGGAGTACTGCCTGTACCCTCACTATTGCCGGCTCTGCTGTCTATCATTGTCATGTTGCTACTACTATGTTTTTTCTCTTTAACAGGTGAAGCAGCAGAGAGAAAATAGCTGGATCGAGCACGATGTGTGGAGGATGGAGATCTACGTGTGTCTGGGCATTGCCTCTCTTGCTATTTTAGCCATATTGGCTATTGCATCCATTCCGTCAGTCGGCAATACTTTGTCTTGGCGAGAGTATCAGTTCATACAGGTACGGTTTACTTTATTTATCTTCTGCATCGATGTAAAGTGCCAACATATTGTTGTGCAATAAAAACTGTGAATGTTCCTGTAAGGGAACGCGCAGAGGTTGTATACATATTTTCTATCTATTATGTTCAGGACTTCAAAAAAGAATATTGAGACGTCCATTTCAGCCAGCAGGAAGTGCTTTAGGATATTTACATGTTTAATTCGATCTCTTTAACCAATGTTAACCTCCTTAGCGGTATTCTCGAGTGTGGCTCGGGGTTAATTTTCTGTACCATAAGCGGTAAACCCGAGCCACGCTCGGAAATACACAGCGCGTCTCTTACCTTCTTCCTCGAGCCGCGCTGTGTCCTCCGGCCGATGCCGGTATCCGGATTCCGTCCCTTGCGACTGTTCGCGTCGCAGGGGGGAGGAACCGGCAGGAGATTAAAAAGTTTTAAAAAAAAGAATAGAACCAAAAAAGTAAAGAAAAAAAAAAATCACACTGCCAGGGAGGTTAAAAAATAAATCCTGGTGGTTACAGAACTCAATAGCGTAAGCTGAAAGTTACTCAAACAACTAATCGAGTCTAAGCTGCGACTCCTCCCTTGATAAGATGGCTTGGTCTGAGATTTCAGTGAGAATCAGCCTGCCTGAAAGGAGATGATTAATGCTGTTCTGTCTCTTTAGCTGGGTTAGTCCTCTGGGAATCCTTCTTTTTGTGTTTTTAAATATAAGAATTAAATATAATATATTGCATCTTAGATGTGGTGGCTGCATTCTTTTTGTCCTTTTATTTTCACATAGTGATTCAGCCAGTAACACACATCCTGTCCTAGGGTGACAGCCCTAACTCACTCTACTGTATCTGTGGAGGAGCAGAGTTGTCACCCTAGGACAGAAAGTGTGTCCCCTTTCCTTATCCCTATAACATATGGAGAAAGTGTTCTGTAGTACCCAGAGGTGACCTGAACAGGACTGATAACATTGTTTACAGTAACACTCCAGGGTGCACAGGAGACAGGGCTGCACTGGATTTCTGGTAGGATCGACCGGGGACAGGCGTGCAGTAGATCAAAAGTCAGGAGTCCTTATCCGCATTCCATGAGTATTGAGAAAGAGGGTGAATGTGACAACCAGACAACTAGCATTTTCCAAAATATTTAAATAAGTTCTACAGACACAAATTCATATAAATCTATTAGTGGTCTTGGAGCTGAACCTCCCTTACAATTGCAGACTGTCTGGCCAGGCTTCTTCTGGCGGTGCTTTTTCCTGGGGTTAGAAGACTGAATCAGCTGCGGTCACATGTGCTGTGCAGGTGGCGGTATATTCATGAAGAGTTCTGGCTTTTATTATCTTAGTTTCCGATGATGCAAACGAGGTGAGCACAACGTACTATAGCCGGGAGGGAGCACTGCCATCCATTAATGATCAGGACCTTCATTTATAATCATTTTATTTGTGTCACTCGGAGATCAACAGACTGAAGCATAGAAAGGTTAAAGGGTTTCTAAACCCTCCGGTGTTTTTGCATATATATAAGGCTAGCAAGCAGTAGACATAGGCAAAAAGTTGTTGTTTAAAAAAAAAAACGATTTAAAAGCTGTTTTCGCCGCGCACTCCCCTCCGAGAATCCGAAAATGCTCGGGCGGCCCCAAAGCATCTTGGGGCGGGCGCATGCGCAGTTCAGATTTTCGGCCAGGAGACGGGGAGAGACACAAGGTAAGTCTATGGACGCGTTCACCCTCATGCAGACACCGTGGAACAGGAAGTGCCAGCAAGCAGAGAGGAGTCAGCGCTGGATCGGACACTCGCCGCAGCGCTGGAGAGAAGGCTGAAAAGGACAGGAAAGAAGAGGAAGATCGGATTAAGAGACATCAGTTAAGGTAAGTGTTTTACTTAACATTCAAGGTGCTTTCTATGTCTAGGCATGATACCTTACATATTCGAGGTGCTTCCTATGTCTAGGCGTGGTACCTTACATATTAGAGGTGCCTCCTATGTCTAGGCATGGTGCCTTACATATTACAGGTGCCTCCTATGTCTAGTCATGGTACCTTACATATTAGAGGTGCCTCCTATGTCTAGGCATGGTGCCTTACATATTACAGGTGCCTCCTATGTCTAGGCGTGGTACCTTACATATTAGGGGTGCTTGCTATGTCTAGTCATGGTTCCCTTACATATTAGAGGTGCCTCCAATGTCTAGGCATGGTACCTTACATATTAGAGGTGCCTCCTATGTCTAGTCATGGTACCTTACATATTAGAGGTGCCTCCTATGTCTAGGCATGGTGCCTTACATATTAGAGGTGCCTCCTATGTCTAGGCATGGTGCCTTACATATTAGAGGTGCCTCCTATGTCTAGGCATGGTGCCTTACATATTAGAGGTGCCTTCTATGTCTAGGCATGGTACCTTACATATTAGAGGTGCCTCCAATGTCTAGGCATGCTAATTTACATATTAGAGGTGCCTTCTATGTCTAGTCATGGTACCTTACATATTAGAGGTGCCTTCTATGTCTAGTCATGGTACCTTACATATTAGAGTTGCCTCCTATGTCTAGACATGGTACCTTACATATTAGAGTGCCTCCTATGTCTAGACATGGTGCCTTACATATTAGAGGTGCCTCCTATGTCTAGGCATGGTACCTTACATATTAGAAGTGCTTGCTATGTCTAGGCACGGTTCCCTTACATATTAGAGGTGCCTCCTATGTCTAGGCATGGTACCGTAGATATTACAGGTGCCTCCTATGTCTAGTCATGGTACACTACCTTACATATTAGAGGTGCCTCCAATGTCTAGGCATGGTACCTTACATATTAGAGGTGCTTGCTATGTCTAGGCGTGGTACCTTACATATTACAGGCGCCTCCTATGTCTAGGCATGGTACCTTACATATTAGAGGTGCTTGCTATGTCTAGGCGTGGTACCTTACATATTACAGGCGCCTCCTATGTCTAGGCATGGTACCTTACATATTAGAGGTGCTTGCTATGTCTAGGCGTGGTACCTTACATATTACAGGCGCCTCCTATGTCTAGGCATGGTACCTTACATATTAGAGGTGCTTGCTATGTCTAGGCGTGGTACCTTACATATTACAGGCGCCTCCTATGTCTAGGCATGGTACCTTACATATTAGAGGTGCTTGCTATGTCTAGGCGTGGTACCTTACATATTACAGGCGCCTCCTATGTCTAGGCATGGTACCTTACATATTAGAGGTGCTTGCTATGTCTAGGCGTGGTACCTTACATATTACAGGCGCCTCCTATGTCTAGGCATGGTACCTTACATATTAGAGGTGCTTGCTATGTCTAGGCGTGGTACCTTACATATTACAGGCGCCTCCTATGTCTAGGCATGGTACCTTACATATTACAGGAGCTTCCCATGTCTAAACAGGAAATCTTATACATTCAGGATCCCCACTGAACCTAGGCATGGTACCTTACATATTCGAGGTGCTGCCTATGTCTAGGCATGGTACCTTGCATAGTAGAGGTGCCTCCTATGTCTAGGCATGGTACCTTACATATTAGAAGTGCCTCCTACGTCTAGACAGGAAATCTTACACATTCAGGATCCCCACTGAACCTAGGCATGGCACCTTACATATTAGAGGTGCCTCCTATGTCTAGGCATGGTACGTTACATATTCGAGGTGCTGCCTATGTCTAGGCATGGTACTTTACATATTACAGGTGCCTCCCATGTCTAGACACGAAATTTTACACATTCAGGATCCCCCCTGGACCTAGGCGTGGTACCTTACATACTAGAGGTGCCTCCTATGTCTAAACACTGCACCTTACATATTCAGGGTGCCTCTTCAGTCTAGGTATCGTAACGTACATCTTTGTGGTACCTCCCAAGTCTTTAATGAAATATATAGTACAAACCAACACTAAAGAACCATGCCCCATTATAATGACTAGACCGGACAGCACAGCCTTGAACACATGTTCATTTGGCAACAGGAGGGATTATTTCACAGAATGTTAGTCACACCATCAGAATCCGAGGAACCAACTCAGACGGAGCCAGAAATGTATAAAGCTGCTGATATCCCTTCTGACAGCAGTTGAAATTGTTAGACTAATCCTGTGAGTCAGCAGCTGCTGCCCCTTCAAACAATATGAAAAATTGGGCACACTGAAGCTGAATTTCAAAACCTAAACACAGACCAGATGTGGGATTGTTTTAAAAACACAGTACATACTGCTACTTCAAAGTGTATACCTTTAGGGAAATCAGGATGAGAAAACATTGTACACTCAGGTCTGTATACTAGCTTTGTACAGGCAGTAGGTACGGGCAGAAAACATGCTGGCTGGAGAGATACTACAGGTCTGAGCAGCAGGCATCCGGCACCTTAACTCTCGGAGTATGGCTTAATTCCCACCATGAGACTACATTGAAGGGCCCATTCTCACCTATGCATTTTAGCACAGGCATTGTAATGCACAATAATGTATGTGCTGAGTTTTCGGGTGTGGGCGATCGCACTTCCGCCCCTGAACACAGCGACCCGGCCGGGTTGAGATACATACTGACTGCTCTGGAACGCACTATTTGTGGTGTGAACCGGCTTAACGAGAAGGCTGGCAGGCTGCCAAGATCTGTTGTAATAGAAAAATTGCTAATATTGAACTTTGAAAACAAATTTCTCCCAGATGCTTATAGACACAGAGGTCAGTGGGCCTTGGTTTTGGGTCCTATTTACATTGTGTTGTTGCAGGTTACCATATACTTACCATACCATAACATGTAGGTTACCATACACTTTACCATAACCCAAACTGAATGCATTGGTGCAATATGGTGGCACTCATTTTGTATGGCAGCCCAATGCACCTTGCTGATGGACATGCATTGCCACAGAGCCAAAAAGATGATGCATGCAGCACAGTGCACCATAAGTTAGTACGCTGCAATGTGTGTCCATCGGAAGGTGTGTTGGGCTGCCATTTACAATTGCTCCACATCGCCCCAACTCATTTAACTTGTTGCAGTAAAGCACACGGTAACACAACACCATGGTGTAAAGAGGCCCTTGAAGTGTTTTTATTGCTTGTTCAGAATTTCCAAATAGTTTAGCATAGGAGTAGGCAACCTCGGCACTCCAGCTGTAGTGAAACTCCAAATCCCATCATGCCGCTGCCTCTAAGAGTCATGCATGTGGCTGTCAGAGTCTTTCAATGCTTCATGTTCCTTCAGTGACAAGGTTACCTACCTCTGCTTTGGTATGTATAGTCTGACACTCTATAGCAGGGGTAGGCAAATCCAGCCCCACCCAGCTGTGGTGAAACACCAAATCCCATCATGCATTGCCTCTAGGAGTCTGTGTCTGCCAAGAGTCTTGCAATGCCTCATGGGACTTGTAGTTGCACCACAGCTGAAGGGATGGAATTTGCCTACCCTTGCCCTTTAGAGATAATATTAAAATTGACTCAAAACCCATTATAGCTTCACCTTCATCATAGGCTAGTTTTAGTAGCATCCCCTTATTGACAAATTGCACCACTGCAACGAAGGCGGATTAAAAATCCCATGCACAATAATAGTAAATAGTTTGAAGCCTTTAAAATATCCTGTTACAGTTTCACATGTATCTGTTTTATTTTTCTGTTGACCTCCACAGAGCAAGATGGGCTACGTGGCATTATTACTGTGCACAGCACACACCATGGTGTTTGCCTGGAACAAATGGGTAGACGTGAGCCAGTTTATTTGGTACATGCCCCCCTCCTTCATGTTAGCGGTCTTCCTCCCCATCCTTGTCCTTCTCTGTAAAGTCGTCTTTCTTCTGCCTTGTTTCAGCAAGAGGATCCAGAAGATCAGATGTGGCTGGGAGGCCAATAAACCAATGAGCAAGAACTGTGTCCTCACTCATATGTAATATGTACCATAAATACAGTATTTATAGCCTGGTGTCTGTGTGCTTTATTTGTATGGGCTTGCTAAAGTGGACCTGTCATTAAAATTCACATATACGAACCGGCCAGTACCAACTGGCATTGCAAAATCCCATTATTGACTGAAGAATGGACAACTTTCTTGCTGTAAATGAAAAAAGGGCTGCTCCTGAAGTGGAATTTTACCCATATCTTTAAAATAACAACAAACACACCTTTAGAAATGACTAGAGATGCAGCGATACCATTTTTTCGGTATTGGGTAGGAGTACCGATATTTGTTTTCGGTACTCGCCAATACCGAATACTGATACCGGAAGTCCCATAAAGGAAGCCAAGCTGCTTCCCGATCAGCCGGGAAGTCGTCGCCATACACCCTGGTCACTTGGTGACGAGGGAGCATGGAGGAAACATGGAGCCAGCTTTCTAGCCAATCAGGAAGACGGGAGGCGGGTAAAAGATAAGCCTCCTCCTTCTTTCTGCACAGAACCTCCTTCCTTCTGCTGGTGATACCTATAGTGATAGAGATCTATATTGAAAAATCAGGACCTCCTTCCTCCCACTGGTGATTCCTCTAGTGATAACTAAAGATCTATATAGAGGAATCAGGACCTCCTGCTGGTGATCCCTCTAGTGATAATAAAGATCTATATAGAGGGATCAGGCACCTCCTTCCTCCTGTTGGAGACCCCTCTAGTGATAAATAAAGATCTAAATAGAGGAATCAGGACCTCCTGCTGGTGATCCCTCTAGTGATAATAAAGATCTATATAGAGGGATCAGGCACCTCCTTCCTCCTGTTGGAGACCCCTCTAGTGATAAATAAAGATCTAAATAGAGGAATCAGGACCTCCTGCTGGTGATCCCTCTAGTGATAAATAAAGATCTAAATAGAGGAATCAGGACCTCCTTCCTCCTGTTGGAGACCCCTCTAGTGATAAATAAAGGTCTATATAGAGGGATCAGGCACCTCCTTCCTCCTGCTGGTGATCCCTCTAGTGATAACTAAAGATCTATATAGAGAAATCAGGACCTCCTTCCTCCTGCTGGTCGATCCATTTATTTGGCAACTAAAGATCTATATATGGGAATCAAGACCTCCTTACATGCGATTATTAATCAATCACTATCCCTGGAAGCAGGATCGATGTGTCCAGGGATAGTGATTGATTCATAACTGCATGTCATCCTATCACATGCCATTACATGGGGTGTGCCCGTGTTCTGCTTCTTTCAGATGCAGCTGATCATTAACTTGATAGGGTGACACCTTCCACTCGTAAACAGCAGATTTGGGATTCATTCCTGCTGCAGGAAATAACAAGTTCCTGACACAGGAATCCCTAAACGCACCAAAACTATAGGTGTGAATGTAGCCTAAGCCTTTAATATATTTGTATCTGGACTGGGGACATCCTTTCATTTGTTACTCGTAACAAGCGTGGAATTACGTAAGATTTCTCTTGCTCTGCCTTCCAGATTCATTCAGTTACCTCCCACCCTTTATAAATTGATATCTAATTCCACCATCCAGCTAGAAATCATTTACAGCTTAATATATTTGTCTATACAGCAAGACAGCGGTATAGGACAGTGCTTGAGGTTGATGTGGAATTTGCTTTTCTTAGCCAAATCAATGACCCGTTTCCAACATTACCAGCTTGTCAAGCTGTACTTCAGTTAATCTATTACCTGTATCAGTTACCAATCAACATACATATACATTATACATTATCAGGCGTTTTCTGCCCAGCCATAAGTGGCTCATTAAAGCTGGAGCTATGACCCATTCAAGAATCACAACAACCAGTCTGACAGTATATGATGGTCAGAAGTGAAATCTGAACTCCAGGATAAGCAGATATTGTCCTCATACAAGAGTCATGTGTATTCTGACTTGAATCTTGGTGAGCTTTGTGTATTTCTTCCAGATCTGTGCAGTAATCCAGGGTGAGACTTGGAGCTTCCTGTAATAAAGACCGGTCACTGCTACTCTCTCACCTTGTACAGGGTGACTGGTCTTGTCTCCGCCCCCCTCCTGCAGTTTTCTACATGCAGCCTGTAGTGGGTGGAGCCTGTTGGGTCGTCCCCTCCCCCCAGAGCTCTGCTCTGTATAGCACAGTGATGTCACTGCTACTTTTAAATGGTAATACCTGACCTTGCAAAGGCAAAGTGTGCACACAAAGTGGATTTATATACTTGGTGGTACTTCAGGAGTGCATTTAAATGAAAGTTTTTGAGTTCAGCATTAAAATAGATGTCTAAAATCTTATATAGGCTTTACTTTATTGTACTTTCAAAAGTCATTTTCAATATTAATGAATCTGCAGCTTTCTTTAAAATATTTCCTGTTGATCCTGCCATAAAGGTCCTTGTTAAGGCAGTTCCTATTATAGGGTGACAACACACTGTCCCTGTTTGTAGAAGGATGTCACCAGCACACCAAATCAAAATGAAATCCAAAGTGTTTGTTTATTGAAACGTCCTGTCATCAGAACAAGCGCTTTCGTGGCCATGCAGGGTCCTCTTTTATCAGGCTCAGCAAGGACCACACTCTGTCCCTGTCTTCCATTTGTGTCCCTGTAATGTTGCGTGGTCACATGGGCTTCTGATGGAAATGACACAGACATCCATTGTTGTCACCATCAGTAAAACATACCCTGAAAAATGCCATATGGCCCACCAGTCCAGGCAGCTACCCAGAGAATCAGAGTCTGGGTCCCGAGCCAGTAAAATGCGCTTGTAATTAAGATGCAAGTAGGTTGTATGTTCTCCCTGTGCTTGCGTTGGTTTCCTCCCACAATCCAAAGACATGCTGTGAGGTTAAAGGAGAACTATGAGGTGAGTGCTTTTCACTCACCTCATAGTTCTAGCCGACCTGTGACAATGAGACTGTAACAGGTCGGCTCAGTAGATCGGGAAGTGAGTGAACACATACCGGCGTTCGCTTACCTCTCGATCCTGTCACAGCTCTCTGCCGTGACAGGGTAGGGGCTGGATTCCCCTTCCCCGCTCCGATCCGCCAGCACTGACTGCCGGAACGGACGGGGGAGGGGGCGGGTACAGCTGGCTCTGTCTCTAGATAGGCAGAGCCAGCTGTCACTCACGCAGCTGGGCGGATCCAGACATAATTGTCGGGATCCGCTTCAGCTGCGGCGTCTCAGTATACTGTGAGCTGTTGCTCGCGGTATACTGAGCTTAGGGTGATGGGAGGACGCTAGTTTGTGTCCTCCCGTTACCCTAAGGAGACCTATGGGGAAAAGCCCTAACCCCATAGTTCTCCTTTAATTGCCTCCTGCCAAAAAATTGGCCCTCGTAAGTATACATGTAAGATAGGGACTTTAGATTGTAAGCTCCTTGGGGGTAGGGACTGATGTGTAAGCGCTGCGTAAATTGTCAGCACTATAAAAAGTTTGCTGCTATCCCCGGTAAACATTTTGTACATGAAAATCATGTCCCCCCTTAATCTCCTTACTTCCAATGAGAACATGTTTAAATTTAGTAGCCTATTCTCATAGCTCAGGTCCTCCACCCCCTTTACGAGTTTGGTCGCCTTCCTCTGGACTCTTTCCAGTTCAAGGATATCCTTTCTGTTCACTGGTGCCCAAAACTGGACCGTGTACTCCAGATGAGGCCGAACCAGTGATCTATAAAGTGGCATAATTATAGACTTGTCCCTGCTGAACATTCCCCTCTTAATACAGGACAGGACCCTACTTGCTTTGCTTACCGCAGCCTGACACTGCGTGCTATTATTCAGTCTGTGGTCTACCATGACCCCCAAATCCGTTTACCTTTCGGACTTCCCCAGCGGAGCTCCCTTTAATGTGTAATTCTCTTTCTTATTTTTAACCCCAAAGTGCATTACTTTACATTTATCTACATTAAACCTCATCTGCCATGTAGTTGCCCACTCCCCTATTTTATCCAGATCCCCTGTAATGTTATAGCATCTGATTCAGTGTCTATTACCCTCCTGATTTTACTATCATCAGCAAACACTGAAACGTGGCTGTTCACCCCCCTCCCCAATATCGTTAATGAAAAGGTTAAATAGCATGGGGCCTAGCACAGAACCCTGAGGAACCCTATGACCCTAGGTTCTCAACTGGTGGGTCATGACCCAAAAGTGGGTTGCAACCCTATGTTCAGTGGGTCGCCGCATGCCTTCCACTTTTCTAGATGAGAGCTTCCTCAGCCACCTCCTAGCACAGCACTGTCAGTTCTCACTCCCATCAGCCATTTAAAATATGCTGCCCGGTGCCGAGTGTCAGCTTGAGGTGGGGTGGGCTAGGGGCTATGGCTGCGAGGGAGCTCCATCCATACGTGCATTGCTTACAGCTTCCTCACATGTCCTGTAGAGTTGCCTGGACCGGAGTAACAGCACATTCTGCTTCCCGACACCGCTACAGGGCACGCAAGGGAGCTGTACAAGCAATGCATATGAATGGAACTCTGTCACAGCTCAGCAACCCACACTGGACCCCAGGCCGAGGATCCAAGCTGTTGCGTTGCCATTCACTTTAATGTTAGCCCAAATGCACCTCCCACCCACAGTTTGTACATCCGCACCAGAACGCATGGTACCCTAATGCAGTCCGTTCCATTGCAGTGCGACTTGGGTCGCGACTTAATGACCGAGGACAAATGTGGGTCCCGAGGTTACACAGGTTGAGAACCACTGCCCTAGACCAATCCGAGAAGGTGCCATTTATCGATACTCTTTGTACCCGTTCCTGTAGCCAGTTTTCTCTCCATGTACACACTATTTCGTCTATGCCCATAGACCTCAGCTTGTGTAGTAAACGTGTATGAGGTAACGTGTCAAATGCCTTAGCAAAGTCCAAATATACCACATCCACCGGCCTCCCTTCATCCAGATCTCTACTTACCCCTTTGTAAAAAGTTAGCAAGTTAGTCTGACAGGAACGGTCTTTCCTAAATCCATGCTGGTTGTCATTTACTATGCCATTATCCTGAACAAATTCTACTAAGCGGTCTT